GGCGAGTCGCTTACAGTTGTGTCCCATACGCTTCTAGCCACTTTAAGGGCTCTTGCCTTTAAAGGCATGGGTCAGGATCGGGTTGTGGCACTTTTGCGCTTGAAAGTGAGCGCAATACGAAATGGAACGCCAGTGAAGAAAAATGCGAAAAGCCATAAAGTAGCCAGAAATAGCAACCTCTTTTCCAACAGCGGCGAAGGAAGCTGGTTCAAGAGGAAGGCATGAGTGAACGAGTGTTTTGAACGCTCCAAGCATAGTGGCTCTGTAATAGCGACCAATACGGCATTCAACCCAACTGATTCCATACCCTACACTAGCCACGTTCCACTTCGGCAGTGGGCGAGTTAAATTGTGTTGGGCGGGGTCAGTGCTGTATCCTAGGTCTTTGCTCCTCGGCTTTGTCAGATCATCCCGAAAGTTGTGCTTGCGCAGTGCTGCACTTTTGTCGGGACGAACTTAGCTCCGACCAGAAACTTCGGACCTTGACTTTAATCAGAGTCCAGTTCACCTGGTTATCCAAGACTGTTAGAGCTGCAATATAGTAGCAGTTCAATTCACTACTACTTATTGCCTCGCCGATGCTTCGCAAAACACAAGGGATCGCCTCGGGGCATACAGAATTGTCAGACGTTTCAGCTAATGGACATTACAGCTTGTTGATTATTTTGGTAGATTGGATGTAGTTCGGAAGTCCGCTTTCTTCCGCTTACTTGATATTCAATTTCAATTTCAATTGATATGATATGCCGATGCAGCTGAAGCTTACAAGGGAGGTCTTTCAGGACATGGAGCGCTTTTTCGAAACGGTTTTCTGCATGTTGTAGGGGCTCATGCGAGGAACACAGAACCATGATCCATTTTTCCTGAACGCCTCCAGGAATGTCAAAACAGTGGTGAAGAAATGGTCCAGAGTTCGATCCCCGGTGATGACTAATTTTTGCAATATAGTTTGGCGCCCCCAGATTGCCGCCAAATGGCGCCATCGTCGAGAATAGATGTCATTGTCGTGTTTTGCGGCAATTTGGAGGCGCCAACATAAATTGCAAAAATTTGTCATCACGGAGGATCGAACTTTGGACCATTTCTTCTCCGCTGTTTTGACATTCCTAGGGGCGTTCAGGAAAAATGGACCATGGTTCTGTGTTCCTCACATGAGCCTCTACAAATGCAGGGAACCATTTTGAAAAAACGCTCCATGTCCTGAAAGACCCTCCTTGTTAGGCGCGAGCAAAGCAACTGCTATTGCATGGGTACAAGCGAGTTCAAATTTCTGCGCTGCTGAAATGGCTCGCCTAACATGTAAAGCGTGTAGTGAAGGAAAAAGGCTTGAATACTGAGCACAGAAGTGCTTCACCCAACAAAACCCTCAGCACTTTGCACTCTTTTTCAACAAGTCGGTCGACAAGCTGTTTCAATGAGAGCTGCCTTTTTGCTCGCTTGTAGCCTCCATAGCTCCAAAAATGTTGAGCACTCTAGAGCGGGGGGAGGGGGAAGCAATGGGCTTTTGGATGACGTCAAAATCGCTAAGAAAAAATTGGATGGACTTCAATAACCATTGGTCAAAAAAACCACTGAAAGTTTGTGCTCTATCCAATGGATCAAATTGACAGTGAGGAATCGTCTGCTTTTGAATTGTTTGTGAGCTGAACAATTCCAGGCACTTGGGCTTAGTCAACGAGACGGCACACTTTTGAAGACGTTCCTTTTGGAGGTAACTGGTTTGAACTGCACACTTTTTCAGTGAATTCCGCTTTCGTAGAGTCGCGGCTATTACGCCGTATCAGAGCCTTCAGCCACCAAGACCAACAAGTGTAGCGAAATCTGGGAGCGCGGTACAACAGCTAATGTCGAGGTGAGCTCTTGGAGGGGAAGTATAGTTAATCCGCACATCCCATGATAATGGTTTACCTGGAATAATTCAAGGTGAGAGCTGTGCGAAAAGTTGTGCGGGATTACTGTAGTTATTGACCCGTGATTCTTGTAGATTTAAAAGCTAGCGTTGTGATGATTTTTGATATAGATTTTACATTCACACAGACCGCGCTCAAGTCAAGTTCAACGTCATGTCTTGAAAATGACTACCTCCACGGTGCAATAATTGTTGACCTGAATTCACATATGAGTTTGAATTGCGAATTACTGTGAACGAACGATTAGGAAAGGCAGAATTGGATAATCCGTTCTCCGAGGAATGATTCCTTTAAATCCACGGTATACAAAGTGCGTATCCCACCAATTCCGCATGGCCTGAGAGAAGATCGGGGCTTATTCATTACACGAAATAGTGAGTATCAAGTTCTCTGTTCACCTGCTTACTGCTAACAATGCATCTTCTGGAGAAATAATCGGGCGAAAGTTCAGATAGGCGTTCCGAGATAGGCATAATTTCTTCCCCTCTTGTCGAATGTCGTTCTAGGTGGAATTTTGGTGCATAGAGAGACTTTTTTTTCCCGGGGTTGGGAGGTGGATGCCTTTTTTCTTTTCTCCAGTCACCAGCTCGCTTACTCCGTCCAAAAAATTGTAGTTCGGTTGAGGAGCAGTTCTAAGTTTACAAAAATGAGAAGTTTAGTGTTCACCAGTTCAATCATGTCTGCTGCATGTGGAAATTTTTTTGGACAACCACCTTTTCTTTTAACTCCTCCTTTAGCAAGTAAACTCCTGAATTCGCGATAATATGGCACCAGTACTGTGAAAACAGCATCAAAATTAATTAAGGTCGCTGTAAGAATTTCTGTAGTAAAGTTCTAACTTTCTTCCTTCAAACACGACAGGAGGTTGGTAAAGAAGCTAACGTTTCGGCGGGGTCGCCTTCGTCAGAGCCTGCAAAAGCCTAGTCAGTTTATGACAACCCGACCAAACGTCGCCGCCACCTTATAGAAGTTCAAAATCAACCAAAACATCGCTAGCCCCAAGAAGGACCACTTACCGCAATTCAGTCCGGACTTCTAGACCAGCCACAAAGCACAGCACCAGCTGCAATCCGGACTCTTTCCAAATGAGAGTCACTACTGGAAGGCTAATCTTATATAAGGTCTTAACTCCCTCGTTATCATGAGGCCTTCTTCCCTCTGATTCATTTTAGGGCTGCTGACTTGAATCCAAAATGCCTCAAGGGTTTTCCGTGCAGATGTTTCTGATTCTTGAGCCAAGACCTTAACTGTGACTTCAAAGTCATCCCCATCATGAATTTGAACCCTGTGGGCTCCTAAAGCAGTTGATGATCGTGACCTATTCTTGCCCTCTATGTGCTCCTTTATACGTACACAGAGCGGTCTTGCCGTCTCGCCGATATACTCGTCCCCACAAGTGGAACAAGTGATTTTGTAAACCACCCTGAAATGTTGCAGTCCCCTTCCCTGCCGGTTGGAACAGACGTAGGGGTGGGTGTGGTACATAGACGGTCGTAAAGCCGTGGCGGTGCTTCAAGTTATGGGGTGGGATGTTCACAATGGCAACTGTATTTTCCAATCCTGACCTTCTTAAAGCACTTTCTCATAGAGGCGCTAACTGTATCACAGACGAAGATAAAGATAATTTTGTTAGTCTGTGAAATACCATCGGGCCTGCTCATTGCGCCACCGTTTCTGCCCTGCGAAAAGTCTGTAGTAAAGATTTTTAGAATAGCCTATGTGGTGCAAGTTATAGATCCAGAAGAACAACTCGCAGAGACATACATATTATTGAATTTACAAACCTTCGTGAATTATGTCCTTTTAGAACTGTTCGCCGCATATTGCGACTCATTACACCGACACAATCGGGTGGTTCATCTGAAATATGTTTACCTACAATTTACCCATTACCCTAACCAGCAATCCACCATAGCGCTTTTATACTTATGCGACCGAGATTAAAAGTTGTAACACATATGCATAAGATTGACTTGTTAGCCGAGGAACTCTAAGGCCGCGTTCATAGTTCGCGACTCCGGAGATTAGGATAGTACGCGACAATGAAAAACATATGTATTGACGGGGAGATTAGGATAGTAGTAGATTAGGATAGTAGTAGAGTAGGAGATTGCGCTGACAAGATTAGATACGTATCGATTGAAATCGCCGGAGAGTAGTAGATTGCGATATTACGATAGTAGGATAGTAGTAGAGTAGGAGATTAGGATAGTAGTAGATTAGGATAGTGCGCTGACAAGATTAGATATGTATTGATCTATTCGCTTGAAGTCGCCCAATCTACTACTCTCCAGCGATTTCAATCGATACGTATCCAATCTTGTCAGCGCAATCTCCTACTCTACTACTATCCTAATATCCTGTCGCCTACTATCCTAATCTCCCGAGTCGCGAACTATGAACGCGGCATAAGAAACGTTGTTTATTGAAACGCAAACCTTCAGAACTGGCTCTCACCATGCTGTTGAGTTCAAACACCTGAAATTGGCAAAAGTGGCTTGGCTGCTGCAGCAAGCGTGAAATGCATCATTTTGGTAGAACGTACCAATAACAAGGCGACGAGCATGTCGAACCCCATAGGGTTTCACAAAGTTGATTACGAAATTTTGCTCGTCATTTTAATATAGCTTCAGGCAAGCCAGCGTCCGAACGTGATCACCCATTCATAAAATATGCTTTGAATGCTATGCAACACCTATTGTGTACATATGCTCATCAACAGCTCTGAGAACACACCAAGTCGCAGCCTCAAACTTGCCATGTCCATAAATTCGCTATGAAAGTTTTGTTAAAACCTTCAGAGTAGCTGCCATTCTTAATCCTGATTGGAATATTTTTATACTGAAACTTACTTTTTAAGACCTAAAGCCCTATTTATCATTGGAAGCATATGCTATCGTCTTTCCTGCAGTACATATAATTCGAATTTTAGTTTTACTTGTTATATTTAGATTTTTTATAGAATTGAACTGAAGGTGTCAAGACAGTGGTTTGGGCAAGTTTCCTGCCACATTTCCTAGCGATCTAATCACAACCATTCGTAAAGGAGGTTCAACTTCGTATAGTGTAGTTTATCTTCAGAAATTTCAGCAAGGTAATTAGAATCTGTTCATATCCTACTATATATAAGCGGCTAGCGTGTGTCTGTGTGTGTGTGTGTGTGTATGTTTGACCGGAAATTCATAGCTCGAGTCACAGTAACGATAGCGCAGTGGTTCTTACATATGTTATAGGGGGTGGGATGGGGACACAAGTGGTACGTGATAGGAACTGATAACGACTGATAATAGCTGATAAGAGGGGCTAGAAAGCGAGCATCGCCAATTTCGTTTTGTCGTTCATATTGGTACTAGAGCGTCTATACTTACAAGTCTTATGTGGGGCGGTCCCGGGACATTGGTGGTACATGATTGGAAGCGATAGCAACTGATAATGGCTGATAAGATGCGCTAGAACGCAAAAGTCGTCGATTCCGTTGCCTGGCTCGCGTTGACACCAGAGCAACCATACTTACAAGTGTTATGTGGGGTGGGACGGGGACATTGTTGGTGGGTGCCAGAAACTGATAACGATTGATAAGGGCCGATAAGGCGCGCCAGAACGCTGAAGTCGTCGATTCCGTTGCCTGGCTCGCGTTGACACCAGAGCAACCATACTTACAAGTGTTATGTGGGGTGGGACGGGGACATTGTTGGTGGGTGCCAGAAACTGATAACGATTGATAAGGGCCGATAAGGCGCGCCAGAACGCTGAAGTCGTCGATTCCGTTGCCTGGCTCGCGTTGACACCAGAGCAACCATACTTACAAGTGTTATGTGGGGTGGGACGGGGACATTGTTGGTGGGTGCCAGAAACTGATAACGATTGATAAGGGCCGATAAGGCGCGCCAGAACGCTGAAGTCGTCGATTCCGTTGCCTGGCTCGCGTTGACACCAGAGCAACCATACTTACAAGTGTTATGTGGGGTGGGACGGGGACATTGTTGGTGGGTGCCAGAAACTGATAACGATTGATAAGGGCTGATAAGGCGCGTCAGAACGCAAAAGTCGTTAGTTCCGTTACGCAGCGTTGACACTAGAGCGTTCCTACTTACAAATTGTAGTAAGTCGTAGTAGTACAAACAAAGGTACGTGCACATTATTTCGATATATATCCAGCTTACTTAATAGAATTCGACTGCATAAATTTTAAAAAACAAGTCTTCAGCAAATGATAAGTTTCATTTCTGACTATTAAGAAAACCCAAACTCATTAAACCGCTAATCCTTTCGTGGTTCTAAATAATGATGAATGTAAATGAATGATAAGCATTAGCTCCTCACTTATGTAAATAGGCATATTTCGTTTTAATTTTGAGACTGACAGCAATCCTATTCACCGCTAAATTATCTTAATTCAAGAAAAATGCTGGATGTTTACAGTTGTGAATCAATATTTACCTCCATTAACCATCTCACTATTGACTGTGTTAGACCCTCCACAGTTTCACTGAAGCTCATCGAGAATACGCGTGATAACGTCTGAGCTGAACTGGTATATTGATCACAACTGTAAACATCCAGCATTTTTCTTGAATTAAGATAATTTAGCGGTGAATAGGATTGCTGTCAGTCTCAAAATCAAAACGAAATATGCCTATTTACATAAGTGAGGAGCTAATGCTTATCATTCATTTACATTCATCATTATTTAGAACCACGAAAGGATTAGCGGTTTAATGAGTTTGGGTTTTCTTAATAGTCAGAAATGAAACTTATCATTTGCTGAAGACTTGTTTTTTAAAATTTATGCAGTCGAATTCTATTAAGTAAGCTGGACATATATATCGAAATAATGTGCACGTACCTTTGTTTGTACTACTACGACTTACTACAATTTGTAAGTAGGAACGCTCTAGTGTCAACGCTGCGTAACGGAACTAACGACTTTTGCGTTCTGACGCGCCTTATCGGCCCTTATCAATCGTTATCAGTTTCTGGCACCCACCAACAATGTCCCCGTCCCACCCCACATAACACTTGTAAGTATGGTTGCTCTGGTGTCAACGCGAGCCAGGCAACGGAATCGACGACTTCAGCGTTCTGGCGCGCCTTATCGGCCCTTATCAATCGTTATCAGTTTCTGGCACCCACCAACAATGTCCCCGTCCCACCCCACATAACACTTGTAAGTATGGTTGCTCTGGTGTCAACGCGAGCCAGGCAACGGAATCGACGACTTCAGCGTTCTGGCGCGCCTTATCGGCCCTTATCAATCGTTATCAGTTTCTGGCACCCACCAACAATGTCCCCGTCCCACCCCACATAACACTTGTAAGTATGGTTGCTCTGGTGTCAACGCGAGCCAGGCAACGGAATCGACGACTTCAGCGTTCTGGCGCGCCTTATCGGCCCTTATCAATCGTTATCAGTTTCTGGCACCCACCAACAATGTCCCCGTCCCACCCCACATAACACTTGTAAGTATGGTTGCTCTGGTGTCAACGCGAGCCAGGCAACGGAATCGACGACTTTTGCGTTCTAGCGCATCTTATCAGCCATTATCAGTTGCTATCGCTTCCAATCATGTACCACCAATGTCCCGGGACCGCCCCACATAAGACTTGTAAGTATAGACGCTCTTTACCAATATGAACGGACAAAACGAAATTGGCGATGCTCGCTTTCTAGCCCCTCTTATCAGCTATTATCAGTCGTTATCAGTTCCTATCACGTACCACTTGTGTCCCCATCCCACCCCCTATAAATATGTAAGAACCACTGCGCTATCGTTACTGTGACTCGAGCTATGAATTTCCGTTCAAACATACACACACACACACACACACACACCAACAGACACACGCTAGCCGCTTATATATAGTAGGATTATTGACGACTCTAAATACCTTTTTGTGAAATGCTGAAGGGAACTACATATACGAAGTTGAACCTCCTTTACGAATGGTTTGTGATTAGATCGCTAGGAAATGTGGCAAGAAAACTTGCCCAAACCACTGCTTGACACCTTCAGTTCAAATTCTATAAAAAATCCCAATATAACAAGTAAAACTAAAATTCGAATATATGTACTGCAGGAAAGAAGATAGCATATGCTTCCAATGATAAATAGGGCTTTAGGTCTCAAAGTAAGTTTCAGTATAAAAATATTCCAAGTATGCAAGTCATCTCGAAATCCGCATTACTTTCCGAACAACCTAATGCTTTGAGATAGAAGCAACAGCGAAGTGCATATGGCTGAAACCAGTATTTCAGAACCGTAGCGAAGAAGTACAGCTCCCTACTGCAACAGCGATTTTAGCTTCTAAGATCTCTCTCGCCCGAACATCAATAACTCCATGTGTCGACAATCGTCGATCAAATGTAATGTCTATGTTTGTGTAATGTTGGGTTACTGTAGCGCTTTAGTTTGAAAAATATTGCAGATTGTTTTCATGTAGAAGTCAGCGAAGATTCACGAGATTCTAGTGCGAGGGATGTAGGGCGAGCTGCCCACGGAATGGAGGCTTTTTGCCATTGGAACGTTGGTGCTGACTTGACAGCTTCGAGTTTCGCCTTCCGGTCTTCGAGTGCGTTCGTCGCCGCCACGGAAACATCGTGAACTATTTCATCGCACTACTTACTGTGTTCATAAGTTTAAAGCTTCCATAGCATCGTTTGAGGTTACTAGTATCCTATCGGAGTATTCCTACCAGCCGCAATTCGCGCTATTCATCTGGAGTGTTCTGCCACCGTACGCCGCGTTACCATGTCGGAATTGTTTGCTGTGCTGATTTGACATGGATATGCGATGGATTGAATTGCTGGGTACATCTGAAAGCTCTGGTATCGCTA